TATGCTGATTTTCGAACTCAACCTGCGTTTTAGTAAGACTGACCATTCCTGTGAGTTTAATGACAATTGGGCTTTCTGTTTTTCTTATAATGTGTTTACAGTGTTGCATATATGCTGAAAAATGAAAAAACAGCATAACTACTAAAATAGTGGCCCGATCATGCCGATTTTCGAACTTGACCTGCGTTTTAGTAAGATTGATTACTCCTGTCAGTTTCATGACAACAGGCCTATCGGTTTTTCTTAAAATGTGTTAACAAGGTTGCATATATGCTGAAAAATGAAAAAACAGCATAACTTCTACAATAATGGCCTGATCATGCTGATTTTCGAACTTGACCTGCGTTTTATGAATATTTATCAGCTCTGTAAATATAAAGCCAAAAAGTAAAACTGTCTTCCACTTATCGTGTTAACGATGAAAGTGCACGGCGACGGCGACATCGACGGCGACAGGGACGGCGACGGCGACGACAGACGCAGGTGATGGCAATATGTACAGACACATCTGTGTCTGTACATAAAAACTGCTTCATAGATTGAAGGGGTGGATCCAGACATAATTTCTGACAGTCTTCCAAATTATATTTGTTGATCCATCCTCCATTTTGACTATCTTCCAACATAAAAAATTTGAATACTCGTCAATGTAAACTTGAAAATCTGACCCTCTTTGGATAATGATTACTCTGGTGAATACCAAAAATGTGTTGCAATTTCCTGGAAAATTTTATCATTTTCTTAACAAAAGTCCTTTGCTCATTGTACGTCTTAAAATATTCAAAGGTAGATGAAAATGACTAGTAACCATACCGTAACTAACAACTAAGAGTGCCTATTCAAGGCACCAAACATATCTAGATTCCGATATGAGATCCACCAGGGACTTTTTGTACCTCCCAACACATCTATGTACGCTCTCATTCTCCAATAGTCTCCACTCTCTAGTTACAGAGTCCAGGGGTAATCCTAGAGAGTGGTGCAAATTGACAATTTCTCCACAATTTCTCGGTGGAGTCTTTCACCAAATAAACAAATAGACATAAAAACAAACTTGCGATACTTAAATTGCCTTTCCAATTACTCATACCTACAGTTGCCACCATCTTAAATCTGCCTATGCCCCTTTGTCTGTGTCATAACTCCCATCTTTTGCCTTGACAAGCACATGAAGCCATTTTAAACCTGCCTGCGCCCTATTATTTCTTCCTGTGTTAAAGTGGACCATTAGTAACACTTAATATCATCCAATCTGATGCTGATCACAAGAACAAGTCTGACTATAGGGTGAGAAAATTCACTTCACATGACCCGATGAGTCAAATAATAAAACTGATTCCGAGTCTGTGATATCTATGCTGACTTCAGGGGAGCACGTCCATGTGCATGCATTCTCCTGCACGTTACTCGTGAGTTCTGTGCATGTGATATCCAGCACGTACTGGCCCGTATGGTAAAAAGTCAGGTGACACGTGTGGCGGAATGTGCTTCCACTGCCGAGCTGAAATTGTACAGGATAAAAATCAGTTTTTCACAAAATTAAGAAAGGTAGTCAATGAAAGCACATAATTTATATGGACGAAAATTTATTGCAAGCAATAATAATAAGTAAGAAAATAGTAAGAAATAATAATAATAAACAAATAATACAAAACAAATAGTCAACATTCCATTATCATTTCTGAAAAAAAAAATTACTTGTAATTTTTTTTTTAACTACAAAATGGACATATAAATGTATAAAAAAGAAAATAACAAAAAAAATTGATCACATTTGCGAAAACATGCATCAAAACAAATGAACAAACCTCAGGTGTATTTTTACAAGACTGTCCTGTTATAGTCACATGACGATCACATGACATGTCTGGATTGTACTTCCTGTGGCACTGTACTGATAGAGTGCATTCTGGGATAGGGAAATCTGGAAAATATCATTTGAAACTTAAGTTAAATCAAACAATTTACCTTCTGAATCAGCTACTGTAAGAATGAGAATAAATCTTATCTCACCAATAATTATTTAATAACATTCTGTGATGATAATTACTAACTTTGGAACCATATTTACAAAATAACTACATTTAGCTCCATTCACAAGAGCATTATCAGGCTGAATAACTACAAGTATTTAGGAGTTGGTTGACCTGTGAGCAATTCTCACTAGGGGGAGTGATTGACTGCAATCAAATTAACTTTCCTGTCTTTATGTGTAGAGAATACTGCTGAAAAGTAATTCTGTGTTTTAAAACAACTTTTCGGGTCCTATACACACCACTATAGTCACTATAGCCACTGGGACAAAAGGAATTCAGAAAACTAACTGCTCTCAATGGGGCCGTAGCAATAGTCCAAAGGTTCAATTGTCCGAAGGTTCATTGGTCCGAATGTTCATTACAGAACCTTCGGACCAATGAACCCTTGATTAAAAAAACGATGAAAATGTTACCTTTTTTAGGACCTTCGGACCAATGAACCTTCGGACTATCGAGACGCCCCCCTCTCAATAATATTATAAATTGCAAAACATTAATCCGGAGAGAGAGAGAGAATTTATCAGGAGACACTGTCAAATTTCCACTACCAAATCAGACTCATTACGTTTTAAAAACACATTTGACACAAAAATTAATTTACTAGTCAGTAGCTTTGGACTGGAGTCTAATTTCTGTTTTATAAAATGGTGTTTCACCTGAGCGACAAGTAAGGCTGACGTCTAGCTGTACCAGCTCCCCAGTGTTGAACTGATGTGCTTCCCCACTGTAACCTCTTTTGTTTAAAGAAATATCTGAAAATATAACAAAAATAACATCTTAGTTTTATCTAGTGGATGTGATAAAGCATTTATAGACATTCCTCTGTTTCCAGATGTAAATAAAATCTACATTTTTTACCACTAAATAAATTTTCTAAATTCTCTTATGTTTATATAACACATTAAGTTACTTTAATTAATTTGAATCATTTAACATTAAATTAAATTCAATTAAATTTTCTATTCTTTTTTCATTTCATCATGCCTACCCCAGTGAATAGGAGTCTCTCTCACAAGCTCCAACTGAGCATCACTCCATGGCAGTTTATCCACAGCAATCTTCCCAGACTTCTGTAGGTGAGGGATACTCCATCGAATGTCCACAAATTCAGACAAATATTTAAGGCACTCTTCCTGTATCTTTTCTGCAACCTCTGATCCTTCTGCATCGTCATGGAGATGGTGCGATAAAGAGTCTCTGTGTCGCCTGTGAACAGGTTCACTACTTTCTACGTCTTCATTGTCGTTTTCTAATGGAATGTCATATAGTTCTTGTATTTTGCACCTCCTGATAGGAATCCATATCCTGTTAAATAATAAGTAAATAAATAAATAAATAAATAAATAAATAAATAAATAAATCACAACAAGGTTTCACTTAATACCTGACTTTAACTTTTTACCGGATCAAGACAGTGTTGGTGAATGTGGACGATAACTCTGAGTAGCGCGCATGCCACTCAGGTTAAATCTCTTCAGACAGGTTAATTCACTTCAGGAATGAACATCCATAAAATAATAACATGAAGTATGCTGATCTTGAGGATGTCAGGCCATAAAAATTAAACCTTTGAAGTTTTTAACATTGCACTTAAATAATATAAAATAATTATGGATTGTGGCCCAAGTTTTCAGTGCAATACATACCTTTGACATTACAATTCCCCATGAAAAGATTTGTCAATTTATAAATAATTAATTTCTGTTTCAAATTAGAACCTGTTAGTGCTGTCCTCATGTCTCACCTTTTTGTCTTTTTCTCTGCCAATGTTACTGCACCTGGTGTAACAGAGGTCACAGGAGGGTCACCAAAGGTCATTGGAAGGTCACCAGGGGTCACAGGAGTCTTCCCAGAGGTCAGGACTGGGTCATCAGAGGACATGGCCAGATCTCCAGTGGTCAGCTCAGCCCAGTGGTCAGTGGTATTCTGGACATCAAGGACCAGTTTACAAGTATCACAGGTGTCTCCGGCCACCACGTCCCAGGCCTTCATGACCACCGCGGGTTGAATGGCGATGTTCATGGGTACCACGCAATGGCGGCAGAAACCGCGCTCTAGACCGGGACCACCACTGTACTTGAACTTGAAGGTGGCCTGAATGATCTGGTTAACATATAAATTTTAATTATATATTAATGTTAATAAAATAAACAAATTAAAAATAATTTTTTCAATTACAAAGCATAGGGAGGACTTAAAAATACTTGCAATAAAAAGATTGTCTTATATAAGTTTACAGTACATTAAAACAGGTAATAGCATTTAATCTTTGGAAGGCCACATCTGGGGCATGTTGTAATTCTAAACGGGCCTGTTATGATTGATTTTACTGACTGAAGTACTTATCAAAAGAAAACCTTTATAGAATTAATTCTGACAAGTGTAAAATGTGATGCTGTGATGTGAGCATTAATAAACTGGGATAAATGTGATACTGGAGCAGGTGTGACCATCAACTGCATCAACAACCTACCAATGTGATGTTGGGCTTGGCTGTGATACTACATCAGGTGGGATAATGAGTACACTGTGCATTAGGTGGGATAATGTGATATTATGTTAGATGTGATAATGTAATAGAAGAGACACCCACCTTTGCACTGTGGTCCACCAATACCAGATCATTCCAAGACTGGGAAGACTAGAAATGTGATATTATGTTAGATGTGATAATGTGATAGAGGACACACCCACCTTTGCGCTGTGGTCCACCAGTACCAGATCACTCCAAGACTGGGAAGACTCGAAATGTGATATTATGGTAGATGTGATAATGTGATAAAGGACACACCCACCTTTGCACTGTGGTCTACCAATACCAGATCATTCCAAGACTGGGAAGACTTGAAATGTGATATTATGTTAGATGTGATAATGTAGTAGACACCCACCTTTGCACTGTGGTCCACCAATACCAGATCATTCCAAGACTGGGAAGACTTGAGGGCTACAGTAGACAAGTCTGACAAACCCGTGGAGCGAGGCCGTCGAGCGGGACTTAGTTGAGCAGATTTATCTGGATGAAACCAAAGTTTTCATGTTCTTTCTCTTTCATTATTCTAATTCTGAATCTTATATCTATTTATTTATCTAATTTTACTCATTTATATATTCATTCATTTTATTTATTTATTTACCTATTTTTCATTTGGCACATTCTACATTTCTGCCTTCAATATGGGAAAATACACTTGAGTATTTCAGAATTTAATTAATAAAAACACAACAAATTTGAACATTTGTCCATTTACACTTTTCTAGTACATACAACAAAGGATCTTTATCAAAATGTTATTTTTTCTTTACAAACATTATCAGACATATTTAAACTAGTTGACAAAATACAAAATTTGGATTGTAAAATTGACTTCTCAGTCGAAGTTGCAACAAATACTTAACAGAGAGAACTTTTTGTCTTAATTCAAATGAAAACGTCTGCAGCGTAACTCTCAAACTCACCATCTATCACAGTGGACTCCTTGGAAATGAAGTTGCTGACCCCATGGATAAAGATGGTGAAGCAAGCATGGCTGCCAGGAGCTATAGGAAGCTGGGACTGCAAACTTTCCATGTTCCATACAAAAACCTCATCCATTTCTAAAATAATTTAAAAAATTCATAAATGTAAAAAAATAATTACAAAAGTGTCAATGACACTATTTAAACAGCCTTAATGTCACATCTAATACCTTACTTTTAGTTCCAAGGCCTATGCTTGATTTCTCTTGTGTATCATCACAGTGACTTTTTTCTTTTATTTTTTAAGTATTCTAAAATAACACTGGAATACAGAGTATTTTATGCAAGCTAACCTTCATCTTTTTCTTTTGAATCCAGTCCTAGTTAGCAGAGTTAACAATAATAATAAAAGCAATAATTCATCATAATTATAATTATTAAAATCTCAAGCAGCTCTACACACTGACAAAAACTTGGAAAATAACTTCATATTATGAGTATGGCAAAATCTTTATTATAATGTCAAATATGATGTATATAGTCAAATATGTGAAAATTGTGATTTCTCAATAAACATTATTACTTAAAATAATAATAATAATAATAATAATAATAATAATAATAATAATAATAATAATAATAATAATAATAATAAATTAATGATGTTTATTGAGACATCATAATTAAAATCTAAAAATCTTCTCCATATTATTATTAAAATTATTATTATTTTTTTTATTATTCACAATGAAATAAAAGGTTTATGATCCCATCTAACCTTTATCTTTCCCCTTGGAGTCAAGAGCCAGCTCTACCACCTCTATGGGGTAACTACCAGTGTTGGTCAGCATCACTTGACACTCAAAACTGAAACAAATGTGGCCAAGGTGAATAAATAAATAAATCAATGTGTGTGTGTGTGTGTGTGTGTGTGTGTCTATATTGACTTTAATCCACTACTGGACCTACAATTTAGTCTTATTCACAAGGTTGTGTCTCTCTCATGGAAATTTCAGCCAGTCTAATGCAAATATAAGTGGAACCATTCTCAGTCTTGTCATACAATTTGTTACGAAAGTCAATAACCAGTTAAAAAACTTTATAAATAAAAAGTGCACACACAACCAATATTCGATTTCTTACATGCATGCACCTTTTTCCTGTGAACAGTTGATAAATATATTAGTTATAGGTACACAGACACGTGGTATGATTCTGTGTGAACTGTTCGGCACTTGAGTAGTATCATCAAATAGTAGGTGATGAGGAAAAGCAGGTTTTAGGGTTAGGTCATACAATGGCTCTTTCGTGTCCAGTGTGAGACACAAGTAGAGAATGATCTCCCTGAGGAGTACGAAGTGCTCGAAGATAACAGCAGAACCCTCAATGTGGGTAAAGCCTTTGATTTATTAAAGACAATAGTTCAGAACCAATATGAATCATTTTCTGAACAACAATCTCATTCCATCGAATCAATCGAGAAAAAGATTAACCTTTCCCAAGATACACAATTGAAAGGGGAAGGAAACCAAGTTGCATATAACTTCAATTTAGACATACTGAACGGGTTAGAAATGCTAGAGTCAAGAGCACATGAAAACAAAGATTCTTAATCTATACAGATCATTACAGGCCAAAAAGAGACAGTGTGCCAACGTAATAAATACATCCGCATCGCTGACTCCTTCCTCTGCCGCCAAATGACAAACCAGTAATGATTACCAGATTTTTGACTACGCTGGCGATGAGTGAAGGATCTGAGCAGCCGAAAAACTGAGCGCTTCACCAAGTACCCAAAAGCAACTACACAAATGAAATGGGAAAGAAGCAATTACAATTCTGAAATGACATACTGAACACTTTTTCTGCCATTGTTAACATCACAGAGAATGGTTATGACATTCCTTTCATTTCTGATCCTCCATCTATGTTTATGAAAAACAACAGATCTGCTACAAAAAATGCAAATTTTGTTACAAACACTATCAAAGATTTGTTAAATACAGGTTGCGTAGTTCAAGTACCTTTCAGACCTTTCACTGTTAGTCCTTGAAGTATAGCAGAAAACAGAGAGAAGAAGAGATTGGACCTGAGCTGAGTCACCTGAACAATCATTTTAAGAAAGATAAGGTAAAATTTGAAGACTGGAAATCAGGTACTGAAAGTCTGTTTGTGTGTTTTGGATTATGCAGGGTTCTTTCACTTCTCTGAACTGTCACACATTAAGAGCAAGGACATTACATTTTTCAACAATCATATAAATATCCATATAGAGAGAAGTAAAACTGACGTCTACAAGACCGGAGCTAACATATGCATAGCAAAAACTTATTTTAAGACATGTAGCCCTATGTAGCCCTTCTATCTGGGTATTTGACTTATGCTGAGATTAAAGAGAAATATGGACATATTTATTTTTCAGTCTGTGTATTTTTGCAAGAAAGTAAAAGCATTTAAGTGTAGAAGCAGAAACAATCCTATTTCTACAGAAGAGCAAGAGAAATAATATTATCAGCTTTTCAGAGTATCGGTCTGGACAAAACCCAATTCGGTTTACACAGTACAAGAACAGGTGGGGCTACCACGGCAGCAAGTCGAGGTGTACAAGACTGTTTATTTAAGAAGCATGGATGATGGAAATCATAAAATGATAAAGACGATTATATAACAGAGAACCTTGAGGAAAAAATGGTAGTTTCACAATCAATTGGTTTGTAATGAAATTTTTTTCGAAACCTTTTGTTTGGATTGAATATGTTTTACAAGGGAACTATACAAGTAGCCAGAACTCATTTCACATTGTGAAAAATAGAGGAAGACAGAGAGAGACGGAGCTCACCATATTATGACAATATGCAATGTTAAAATGCTAAACCAGAAATAAAGCACACGAAACGAAATGAGTACTTCCACCCAAAAGAGCTCCTCCACCCCTAACACTGTACCTTTATCTATACTATAAATATTTTATGTTGATTTGAGTGTAACGAATTAGAACATAGTGATTCTGCCAGCGTACTTTTCTCCTGTGAACAAAGTCAATACTCTGATTTCGCACATGCACACGCATGCACACACATTCACTCACCTCTCTCCTGCGAAAACAGTCAATATTGCACTCTCTTTCTTCAGAATCTCATCCAGGTTGCTGTAGCTCCGTGACCTTGGCACCGAGGTCGTGACCTGTAACTGGGGCAATGGCGGAATAACCTCCACGGTGTACTGGGCCTCGCGTATCCTCGGTATGTCGCGCAGCTTACAGTTGTTTCTCACTCCCAGTACAGTGGTTGTATAGCCTGGGTGAATATAAAATATGTATTTAAAAGAACAAACTAAAATAGAAAATATTTAATGATTGTGTTGCCTTGGAAAATATGTTATAAAATAAAATGATAATGCATGAGTTATACTATGTTAATAATTCCATAGAATAGATTATAAGAAGTTTTCAATTCAGTTTCTAAAAGATATATATACTATTTATTAGCATTAATATTATCTACAAAAACTTCTACAGATAAGAAATTTTCAATGAAGTTTCTTAAAGAATTAAATACTATTAAACTATTTACCTTTTTACAGGGTCCATTATACCACTTACCTATGATATTTAATTGACCAGCACCCTTGGGTGTCCCCAGTACCTTGACCACATAGGGGCCAGAATTGGCCTGGAGGGACATGCTGGACGGGTGGGAGACAAAGTCAACTCCATCTGTCAGCAAGGCCTGAATGTGATTGTCCCAGAAATAATAGTATGTATTTTAAATAGTAAACCTTATTATAATAGTATAAAAATTACTAGATTTAGTTTCTAGTACTAGATTAAACAATCAGGAAACTTTTTTTTAAAAAGAATTACACCATTTACATGTATTTTTTTAAACTTCATTTTAAGCATAACAACCAGAGATAGAGAGAGAGTGCATATGCAGCTGTGCATGTATGTATGTGTGAGAGAGAGAGAGAGAGAGAGAGAGAGAGAGAGAGAGAGAGAGAGAGAGAGAGAGCACTCACCACATTGGACACCTTCAGTTCATACGGCATGAGGTTGAAGACCTGGAGCGCCACCTCACAGACATCGTCCATCACCCACTGGAAGTCTGCAACAAGAGAAAATGTACAACAAATGTCATTAAACCAATCTATATCTATTGTCAATAAACACATAAAATGAAATAAAACACAGTTACTGTGAGTTTTCTTTTTCTATTAAAGACCAGTTTTTTTGGGTAAAGTTGGCAAAAGAGGCATCAGGGATTAACAATGTTTCCCTCACCAAAAGAATTTGGAAACATAATCTTCCACTCACCCATCTTAGACCTGTCCTTCCTGACTCTGCCCATGGGTGCAGAGAACTGTAAGGGGGAGTAGATGAAAGGACTGGGCGACTGCTCTCTGTCCGGGGTCAGCGTGGACTTGATGGCCACAGGGCGTAGGTGGAGGGGGAGATTCATTAGTTTCATGACTCTGAAATGACATAAAAACTGGGCTGGATGTATATTACTTTAAATACATACCAAACATTCATACACACACACACACACACACACACACACACACACACACACACACTCTTAACAAGCATATCTCTCTTCAAATCAGTGGGCAATTGCATTCTCAGTTTCACTAGCACTACCACTTCCCACCTTTTAGTGTAAGACATAAGTATCAGGTCTTACAATAAAACCTGTTGTGAAAACGGCATCCCTGTGATAACAGCTGGTCACTCACCTGACCTGAGGTAAATTCAACAAGGGTGCAGCTGGCAAGATTTGACCACTGTCCAGGGCTATGGGCTGGTTAAGACCCTCATGATGACAGGTGTAGGTCTCCAGGAGGTTGGACAGTTCTCTCTTCTCCTGGGGGGTCAGGTAGTGGTGCATCATGTGGAGCAGGTGAGTCATGTGTCTGTGGAGTAATAATAATAATAATAATAATAATAATAATAATAATAATAATAATAATAATAATAGAAAACTACATATAAGAGAAGAGACGAATTGTGTCTCAAAAATAATTTTATAGGTTTTGGGAGCCCTGGTATCTGAACTTCTGCACCCTCTAGCACTGTTACATTTAAAGATCTGCCAAAATAATACAAAACAGAAAAGTAACCCGCACAAAGTTAACAGGGTCTAAAATCCAAAAGGGGCACTTTTTTAGCCACCCTGTATCTCCCCCCTCCTGTACCTTATAATCAGAGGCACATTCCCCAGTTTTCTGGCCCACCCTGTATCTCCCCCCTTCCGTACCTTATAATCAGGGGCACATTCCCCAGTTTCCTGGCGCAGTAGACCACCTCATGCAGTACCCGGGACTGAACAATTGGCCAGCCCACAGCTTCTCCTGGAATTATGGGAATATTACAGAATTTTTTTTTCTGGGTACTTTCAACTGTGGCTTAAATGCCACAAAGAGAGAGAATGAATTTCTTTACATCGTGCTTTTTACAAAAATATGAGAAATACTTTGTACTTAAAAGAATTCATATTCAGACAACACTGTAATTCATATAATGACTTCTCAATGTGTTAGTTACAGAAAGGAAAATCCAATTCAGTTCTTCATTACAACACACACATAAACACACACACAAACAAACACACAAACACACACACACACAAAGAGAGAGACAGAAAATGTACAACAAAAGAAACCACACTGCCAACTGATATAACACCAACCTTGGACCCTCTCCCTGTAGTCCAATGTAATACTGTAGCCTTTCAGAGACTGCATCAGAAGCTGATGACAGCGTTCCCAGGAAGGATTTGGCACGGTTGGAGCAACGCTTTGCATGGCAGCAACTCGCTTGAAGAAGGCTGCCTTTCTGTGGAAATTGATTTGCTCGTATAGATTAGCCAGGGTGCTGTAGCGGAGAACCTATTAAGTGTAACAGTATTCACATCATGGTAACAATCTAAAATTTTTAAACCCTTAAGATTTTTCTCATGTGTACTTTTATTTGTAAAGATTTCTCTTTTTTAGACATTTTAAACATAACAAGTAGGTAATAACTTTTTAAAAATTTTACATATTCAAAATTTAATTTTTCAACCAAAACATTTTTCTTAATTCATGTTGTTCAAACATATAAAGTAACTGCCTATATAACGTCTGTACTCCATATCATCTTAATAAAACACCAGGAAGTAATATTTTTCAAAGTAATACATGTATGAATACATGAATGAATACATGTGCTAACTTCAACCTTCTTTATGAATACTTGGGAAAAATATTTTTCTTTTAAATTTTGAAAAATTTTTTAATGTTTTTAAAAAGGTAGCAAAGACAAGCTTACAAAGTGGTGACAAACTAAAGAGAAGTATAAATATATAAAATAAAACTTTGGCAAAGAAAGCTCCCCTTTTCAAACAACTTTAAACCTTGACCTAAAATGTTGACCTTTGACCTTGCAACCTTTGACCTTTCAACCTTTGACCTTGAACTGACCTTCTCTTCCTCTGACATCTGTAGGTTTATATACACCACATTCTGGAGGAACTCTGAAGCCTGCAGGTTTTTCTAAAAAGACAATAACATTAATTAAAATCAAATTGTAATTTCCTTCTTGTAATACATATCAAAAATAATTCAAAGATGAAAAATTTCTTATTTCAAAAGAAACCACTGTACACCTATTATTTCTCAACATTATTCATGTCTTCAATACTACTTACCATGACTAGATTAAAAGGTTGTTACTACTTGTCTAGATTACAATACATAAAAAAAATCACAATTTTTTTATCTTCTAGTATCTCTATCATTTATTAAAATCATTCCATATCAACTCATTATAAGTCAAATTATTCATTTATCACTAAAAGCTTTTGTTTAATCATGAAAAAAGGGAATTTGTTCATATTTTCAACAACAATTGAACATATAAAATCAAATAATTCTAAAAATTCTGAGATGGTAAAAATGTAAGCTGACCACCTCCATTCATTGGCAATTAGTCTCCATATAATTGTTTCCATTTCCTTCTTTCTCCATAAAACTTGTTTCAATATGCTAAAGTTTCAATAACCTAAATACAGCAATGTCTATAAAGCAGCCAATTCAAGTGAAAATGTACAATTTCATTCTTTAAAATTCTTCCAAGAAACCAACATTTCAAAGAGGTGTTTTTCCCATATAGCTTTCAATATTTAAAACATTAAAGAAATTTTCATTAATATCACCCTGCCCAAATAAATACTACACCAAGAAAAGATTAGTATGACTTAAAAAATGACTGGTTTATTTCAGCAACCATGCCCTTTATAGTTTTGTCTTATTCCAGTGCCCAACGCCCTCTACAGTATATTATTGTAGACGTGAAGACAGTGAGTTATCTGATGTTGCATACAAGCTCCATGGCAAAGGATATGCATGAAATGGTATAGGATCCATTGAAGCTGATAAGAACTGAGGAATGGTGTTTTCTCCATGGCAGCTTAATGCAAAATTGTTTTTATCCAAATGGTGATGAGGTAATGGCCACTGCAAGGGGAGATGGTAAGGTCTTAGTGGCACTGGACGGAAAACTTTGTGGACATCTTCTGTACCATTTGCATAACCAATTAAGGCTGAATGGCAATTGGCATTGTCTTGGTGAGTGACTCCATCTACATTTCCGACTGAATAGCTATCATGGTGAGTAGCTCCATCTATAATGTTGACAGCAGTATCTTCTTGTTGAGTTGCCCCATCTATCATTTTGACTGCTGTACCATCTTTGGATAAATCAGTGTTGTATCCTTGTGATCTTGATAACACATCAATTTTTCTCAGTTTTGATCTTCTGGGTAAACTTTGCTGACCAATCCAATGTTGAGAGTTACATTTCTCAGATGTGAGTCCATCTGAAGATTTCAATGGCTCAGTTGACTCTGATGAATTGTAAAACAACATTTTTGCTTTGCCACTTTTCTTGTTAATATCTTTCTCTAGCTTTCTTCTGCAGCGTGGTCTCCTAGCCCAATATTTTTGAGTACGCTTACTTTGACGCCTTACCATTGTGTCTTTTGGTGTTTCAGAAAGGTAGTGACCTTTTGGACCCTCTGCAATATTAATATCTTTCTTATGAGTGACAGGCATCTTCCTTTTATCTGATCCACTGTAACTAAAATCAGCCCTTCTGTTAAAATCAGGCATAAAACTGTTCGAAATGTCACTGACATTTGGATCTGGCTTCTCTTGACATTTCCTGCCACCTATACTACATTTCACATTATTATTTGTTCCAGCCTTAGTACATGACTTGGGCTTGTCTTGGTTGTGATCATCACCAATGGAGCATTCATGACAACTGCAGCGAGCACTGAGTGCAAAATCACCATTTGTTGTTGTAGGGTCGTGTATCTCAAGGCCCAACTCCTTTATCGTTCGATTAATAAGTTGGAGCTTATGCAGATCGAAGAAGGTACAGAGCCTTTTTTTACACATGCTGAGTTTCTTCGAACAAGCAATTTCAAATTGTTTGTATATGGTCTGAATGTCCTTCCTGTAGAGTTGTGCCTCCTTGAAACATTTCTCATTTCCTAGAGCTACTTGTCGCAACAGCTCTTCATGCATTGCATTTTTCCACGCCATCACACGCTCATGGACAATCTCATGGATTGGTTGATAAGCCTCCATGTGCAATGCAGGATGATGGGAAATAAGTGTGTACGGCACAGAAACTCTCTTGCTGTCATTCTCGATGGTGTCTGCTAGTTTGTCCAGGCGAGTCAAGTCCAGTTTGGGTTCACAGTTTGGCACTGACAGACATTGGTCAGAGATTACAAAATTTTTTTCATTTGGTGAAAGGTCTTCCAAGACTACGGCTGATGAATCTTCATAAATTTTGATATCATTTCTTATTGCCTGCTTGAATTTATCAGCAATAAGGTTGGACGCATTTCCATTTTCCCTCAGCCTTGTTGTGTCACACTTCATGAATAAAGAATTGAAGCAAATGTCTTCTGGCCTTTCTTCTGCCATAGTCAGTTAAAATTCTCTGCTCAAACTAAATATGTGTGTTGGTCCATTCTTAGCAGTAATGTTTTTGTTTTTGATATCAAATGTCTTGCTTTCACACCATCCCATTCAGATATTGTCTGGTAAAGTTACGTCTATTTTAACCCCAATCTTGAAATAAAGTGCTCCTTTTCCTCTCTTCAGCTGATGACTTTGAATTTTTACATTCCTGACTTCTGTTACTTTAGAGACTTCAAGGTCAGTAGAACAACTACTAGTATGTGAATGGACCAATCAGAGAACATCTATTGACTCTTTTTGACATCTGTTACCTAGGAGACTCCAAGGTGATGATAAGTACTAGGCAAATGGACCAATCAAAGATCACCTTTTAGATCTTTTTGACATCTGTTACCTGGGAGACTCCAAGGTGATGAGAATAACACTAAACAAATAGACTAATCAGAGAACACCTATTGGCTCTTTTTGACTTCTGTTACCTAGGAGACTCCAAGGTGATAAAGAGTACAAAGCACATGGGCCAATGAGAGAATGCAAGCTTCATGCTCAGTCAGCTGAGGCAGAGTGCACAGTCAACCTCACCATCAATGGAAACTGATTTCTGTTCTCTCATTCATTTTCATGACATAATACAGGGCATAGCTCAATCTGAACACTAATCACTATAAGTAGTTATTCTTGAGTTAGTCCAGGTAGTGTTACATGACAGGCTTTAGATTTACTGTTACTATTTGGTCCAAACTTTTTGACCAAAAATTTCCAATAATTTTACCCTAAGATAAATCAATCATAGTCTGCTTGATTTAAATATTGTCACTGGTTTTTTAGAAACTGGCATCTTATACCAATATTTAGTCTAAATTAGAAGAATACTGTGGACTTTGTTTAAACTAAACTTATCTAGATCAAAATGTTCTGTCTTGATGCCCAGACCATATTTCAGTGTGGTTCTTTTCTGAACCTACTCCAATAGAACTAAACAACTGTTTAGTCAGTATTGGATAGCCTGTGACCGTGTGTGTGTGTGTGTGTGTGTGTGTGTGTGTGTGTGCGCGTGTGTGTGTGTGTGTGTGTGTATGGGGGGGTGTGTGTGCACAAACACGAGAGTGCATGTGTGATGATAACCGATACATGGACGAGTGTGCATTTGAGCATGCATGAATGCGTGCATGGATACATGCAAACCTGTATTTGCGTGTGTGTTCACGTACCCCTTGCATGATCAGCACTCTGCAGGCTTTAATACTGGCTTCCATCTCAACAATACCCACGTTCTTGAACTGAAATGTGGAAAGGTTAATAATGATGTTACTATTTACAGATCTAGAGAGAAGAAATGTCCATTTTTAATATGACTAAACTGGAGGTAGCTGAGAAGATAAAACATAGCCAGATTAAGTTATTGGTAACAAGTACACAAGAACTGTTAATTTCTGGACCTTTCAATTTGTAAAGCTAAAAAAAAATTTTTTTTTTGAAAATGTCAGCAATCCCTCTCCCTTTCACCAACATAGCGTATGTTATTCAATTACGCTTAGGAAATAACAAGCTATGAACCCTTTTTAGAACTCTTTTAAGTTAAAACTTCAACATTTTACTATGATCATTAGAGAAATTTACCAGTCTCCATAACAAGAGTGACAAAAACTAAAAACTCATTTTTTTTCATTATTTTATTTTATTTATTTGTTTACTTATTTATTTACTTATTTTTTGATTACTCAAGCAATCAATTCTTTCCACTCAGGCCATACCTTGCTGTAGTGCATGATCGCCTCCTTGTATTTTTCAATGATGTCGTCCCCCATAAGACAGTTTTTGATTCTCACTCTGGCAAGGTCAAGGCCATTCTGATTACGATTCTGTTGAGCACCTGGCACAGTAAAAGTATGACCATATAAATATAAAATCAGTCAAAGTACTGACACTCATTAATTAGGTCTTTACAAGTATAAGTGTTATAAGTAACCAATTGTTTTCTTGAAAACAAAAAATAGTTCTAAAGCAATGTGCCCCACTCCTCCTCAACTAACTATAATTTCTCTTATAATGAAAATTATATTCTTTTATGATTAAATCCTTTCCTTTTTGATAATGAATCCAAACACCAAAGACATTTCTCTCTTTATTTAAGTAACTAGTCTTTTTTTAACTATTTATAGAATCCCAATACTTACTACTTCTCTGTTTAGCCTCCTGCATCATAGAGCTGCCTCTCTTAGTGGACCATGAGTAGTTCCTCTGGAAACTTTGCCTCTCCTCTCTGGGGTACATGATGATGACTGAGGCAGAACACAGGCCCTCGTAGGCAGCTACAATAAAAATATTTTATTAAAGATTTATAAAGATTACAAAATATTCACATAACAGAAGCAGAGGCATAACACATGACCTCATAGGCAGCTATAACAAAATATTTTACTACAAACTCATAAAGATTATAATTAAACATTCATTTGTGACCAGAACACATGTAGACAATGGAGGCAGAATGCAAGACCTTACAGGCAGTTAAAACGAAGCTTTTTACCGTAACAGATTTATGAAGATTTAGAGATATTCAGTAAAGACCAGAGTATGTTTAGATATCTGAGGCAGAGAACAGATATTCATTGACAGTTATAACCAAAAATTCTACTATGAATCTGTTAAAATTTAGAGACATTCCATTGAGTTAATCACACCACATATTCCCAAAGCAGCTCACCTGCCAACCAGAGCCAGTCATTGGCAGACTTGAGGATGTCCAGGGCGGTGCTGTAGTGGAGGATGGCCTCCCCGGGGACACCCGCCAATAGACACAGATCACCCAGGTGCTTCCTCAGCCGTCCCTGACACCGTTTACGATACACCCTGGAAATCAAATGCTGCATTTGAACATTGGGCACTTATGAATAGGAGAAATTTTGAAATCCAGTCCTCTGATGGCCAGAGAAGGTTATTTTTATTAATTTCTAAAATTTGCAAGTTAATTAGTTCTCCTTAGTGGTATTTGTGTGTTATGGACATACAGTAGACTCAACAACAACATTCCCGATGCTCTTATAAGTTTCATCTGGTACCAAATGGAAAAAAATCCACTCCACAAGATTTATTACAGATAACCAAAAAATATTCAAGTTAAAAGATTTTGAGTTTTGCCAAGTCTACTGCACTTAGTTATATTAATTTATCAGCTGACCAATCTACTAGTAACTGCATTTAACATCCAAAACCATTACATTATTAATTCTATTTCTCAGTCACTAGTCAGAAGTGTGACAACTATATTCCAATCTGTTATCATATATATAGTAGGTGTCTGGCAGAACATTTTTCATCTCCAAAACCGTTAAATTTTAAACTAATTTCAGTCCTCAGTCTCTTTAGGGTGTTAACTATGCCCCTTGTCACATTTAACAGCACAGTTTTTCTGTATCTCACCATTCTGAGAGAGAGTCAACTCGGATATTACACAACAGGGTCACATTAACAGAACCCTGTCCCTTTTCCAGACATGGCCAGTTAAGTGCATTAATTATAAGTACCCAGTTTTTGGCTCATTCAGAGCAAGCTGACCTGCGGACTCACGGACCTACGGATCGAATATATCTGACCACTGAAAGTTTACCGCATAATCCTCTAATAGGCACTTTCCAGATTTCCCACAGGAATTAAGCAGTAAGCTTTCAAGTGGGTCAGCCATGTTTGATCTGCAGATCTGTTAGTCTGCGGATCAACTTTGGTTGTGAATGCAACCATTAAAAACATGTTATTACAGCAAGTCAACTTGGAGCAATAAAGAAAACTGTACTGTTTCATGTGAGAGAAGCATAATATTATATGTATCTTCTTGTAAAATAGACCCCTGTTACTATTTTGCTAGGCTGATTACTGGAGTATGCCAAAATGCACTAAGCCAACCAGTATGCTATTTGTTATATGCTTTTATGCATATTTCAATAGCAGTATTGACAAAAAGCGTAGCAATAACCATGTGAGTTATGTGTCTGAATATCAGATTGACCTGTGTTGTCTAAAATAAATAACACTGCAACACATTGCTTTGCCATTTTGCAATATAGGCTAATAACAAAAAGTGCAGAAATAATAACACGAATATTTGTGCTATGTGCTGCCCTATATGTAAATAGTGAATTGCAGCCTTATGCCATTTCAAACATAGAGAAAAATATAGTATTAGGGTCCTTTCCACACTGTGCAGCACACTTAATGAGACCAGTTTACTTTGAGATATTAATAAGTCATTGACAACCAATTCTAATTTATTATAACAAAATTAACAAAACAGCAAACATACATGTATGTTGAACTTGCAAAAAGGACTAAAAAACCCGTAAAGCGTAAATACATACATATAAGGCCCACTTAGGGCATATTCCCAGAGCTTTTAGATCGATTTATCCCTGCGGGGAGTCTCACTAGATTACTGTCGGATAATCCGGCTTAAATGTCCGTCCCGCCTACTACAAGCTGTAAGGGGATAATTAACTTTCGTGCCCGCTCGGCTGACAGCTATCTAGCGTGAACCCCCAGGGAGTTAGGTCAATCTAAAGTAGATCGATCTAATCTCTGGGAATGGGGTCTTAGAGTTGACTGATTCATTGAAGTGTGCTACCCCAATGTGAAACAGGCCTAAGTACAGTTAAGACCTTGTGGTCACATCCAAAAGATGTCAGTTTTATCTTATGGATCCAATTACAAAGAGTATTTTTTAGCATTACTATTTACAGATCCAATGAAACTATTTACCAATTTGGATTGAACATAAGTGTGCTACTGAACATATGTAGTGTAAATAATTAACTGACAAGTAAAAACATGCATGCATAATATATAAGCATTAACTTGGTTATTGCCCCATGCATCAAATACATGCTGCTCAAGAAGCAAAACAAAAAAACAGAACAATATGACCACAACAGCTATAGCAAAAACAAAGAGGAAAACAGCAAAGACTAACAGATTTTTGTTACAAACGAGAGCTTTGGTTAGCTACCCTACATCATCATCAGATTTATAGATTCCACTAACATATCAAGAGGAAGAGGTCAGAGAATTGGGAGGCAAAGGCGGGGGGGGGGGGGGGGGG